CACTACATTTTATTATAACCCCACACCTATCACTTTTATTTACACAAATGTATTATCCAGGGACGTGTACCAGATGAAAAATTTGGTCGGTTCGGTTCAGCGGTTCGAACCGTTTTTGCACTTTTGGATTGGTTCGTCAAAGCGGTTTTTTTGGTCTTTGAACCGNGTTTCGGTTCGGTTCAACGGTTCGAAAAACAAAAAAATAACGCGAAAGTTTAAGTGTCCAGTGTCAAGTGCAACAACGCGCAAGGTTAAGGGTCAAGTATCTGTCAAATGAGATGGGTTGCCTTTACATTATTTATTGTCACATGGTAAACAAACATGGTAGGTATTACCATGTTTAACAAATAGAAAAAAGTGAGTACATTTATCTATCGAAAATCGGTTGAAACGAACCTTTAAACCGTTATGGAAAGTGGTTCGGTTTTTGGTTCGGATCAAACATTTGTGGAAAATTTCGGTTCGGTTAATGGTTCAGTTAATTAATAGAAAAAAGCGGTTTTCCGGTTCAAAACCGGTTCGGTTCAAACCGGTTCACGTCCCTGGTATTATCCTTAAATATAATTTTTGGGTACTCTATGAATTTGTACAACGATTTTGGGTTGCTGTGCCCAAACGCGTGAATCGAATCAAAAAACTTTTAAACACACTTGTAGACAACAGTTCACGCTTTATTACAAAAATTTAACTTACTAAATCTGTGCACTAATTCAACAATAATGTCGGTTGGAAATATGGTATTTGTTGCAAATTTTTGTTATAAATTTGTATATACATTTTTATATACAAGATATTTTTATAAAACACCCAGTAACCAAAATAGACGGGAAATGTTTAGTTATTTGCNATATAATTTTTGGGTACTCTATGAATTTGTACAACGATTTTGGGTTGCTGTGCCCAAACGCGTGAATCGAATCAAAAAACTTTTAAACACACTTGTAGACAACAGTTCACGCTTTATTACAAAAATTTAACTTACTAAATCTGTGCACTAATTCAACAATAATGTCGGTTGGAAATATGGTATTTGTTGCAAATTTTTGTTATAAATTTGTATATACATTTTTATATACAAGATATTTTTATAAAACCAGTAACCAAAATAGACATCACACACAGAAAGGGAATTCTAGTTACCTCATCCTTTCCCAAGGTTACATCACTGGGCCGAAGGCCGCCTACGCAGAAAGGTGTTCTCTGCAAAAGGTGTTCAGCCCCCCTTCTTCGGACGCGAGTTTAACTTTGTTGTTTCCTTGCAAAAAATCTAAAATTCCCCTATTTTCAAACAGCTCCCAAGGGGTCTTTAGGGTGGGGAGGGGGGTGAGGGGTGACTTTTCATAAAGCGGCGTTCATCCTCCTTCGTTTAGGGGGGGTTTGGGAAGCCACCCCCCTCCCCCTCCGCCCTCCACCCCTAAATCGTTGTACAAATAGCTAAAGATTTCCCTAATTTTTAGATATTAGACAACTAATTATACAATACATTTGATTTTTTTTTTTAACAACTCATTCGGCGTTATATTTAAANAAGCCACCCTCCTCCCCCTCCGCCCTCCACCCCTAAATCGTTGTACAAATAGCTAAAGATTTCCCTAATTTTTAGATATTAGACAACTAATTATACAATACATTTGATTTTTTTTTTTAACAACTCATTCGGCGTTATATTTAAATAGTTAATTAAGAGAAGCAGTAATATGTACATACATATATATTGTATACTTTTTTCGATACAAGTACAAGATTCAAAATTATTATTATTATTATTTGTTTTTTTTTTTTATAAATTATACACTGTTGTTGTTGTAGCGGCTACTAAGCCCCGTTCGGGGCGGTTCATCCATCAACGTTGTCGTCGGGGCTGTCCATAGGGACAGGGGCGTTAGCTAAGTGGGGTTCTCAGGGCATGTGAAGAGGTGCCGGAAGTCATGTGGCGACTCTCCACATGCCGGGCATTGGTTGGGCACATCCTCGTTGATTCTGCTCAGGTAGCTGTTGAGCCTGCTGCAATAGCCAGAGCGAAGTTGGGCTATTGTAGTGCGGGTCTCCCGAGGCAGACAAAGTTCTGTCCCGTCCACGTCCGGTAGTTTGTGTGCCTAGAACGGCATTCACAGGGCGGGAGTCTACATAACTTGAGACTGATTCCCTGTGAATGCCGTTCAGTGCATTATAAATTATACACTGATTTCGTTTTCCTTTATAAAGTCAATAAGCTCAGACAAATACTCTGTATTTTTAGTTAACAGAATTTCTTTGATAGATTTGAATTTGGCTAGCAGCCCAAAGCGCGCTCTGCTAGCCGTATACTTGTCACAGCTAAAAATAGAATGATCCAAACTTTCAATTATATTACATGATCTACATATATTGGATGAATACGATTTAATTAAATATAAATACAGTCGTAACGATGACCAGACATGAGTCTATTAATGATTTTAACTTTATTTAGTGATAAGGATGTCTTATGAAACCTTGGTTTCGATGGTAGTTCCGGAAATGTTTCAGCAAAAAATTTACCTTTGTTGCAAGATAATTGTTTATACTCATAAACCCGTTCGGCTCGAATTGAATTATATATTTTACGCACGGCATCATTGTAGATATATTTTATGTCGACAACCGTACCGTGAATCACAGCCAATTTAGCAGCTTTATCTGCCTTTTTATTAAGCGAAAAACCTGAGTGACCCGGCACCCAAACAACTTCACATCTATCAATCGATGACCAGTGTTGCCGTTTTAGCCCTTTGGTGGCTAGATTTAGCTACCATATACTTTTTTTAGCCACATAAATTTAAAATTGCCCCTAGCCCTTTTTTTAGCCCTTTGGATAATTTATTCATCCTTGGCATGAAAAAGTTGTATATAACTAAGAAATACTGATATACGTACATATGTATGTATATATACATATATGTATTGTATGTATGTTGCTTACGTTTTTATACATACATACATACTATAAAAGTGTTAGGGCCGTTAACTAATCTATCTATTAACGATTTAACTATAGTTTAAAATATATGTATAAGTTTACGGCCCTTAATATGCTTAATGGCCCATCAAGTCGATTGACCGTGTATGTCCTTCTGGTGTTATTGTACCAACTGCTGGTGCGACTTCAAAAAGATTAATGTTCACAATATTGCAGTTGTGAATAAAAAAAAACAATGTTTAACAAAATGATAGAAAAATTACGAAATTTCGGCTCTAATCATTTCGATCATTTCTGGACCTTATTTGTAAAGAAATAAATATTGTACCAGCATGCTGGTAAGTTATAAGCTTCGAGCCTGATGGTACAATCATTTGATGGAGCCAGCAAGCTGGTGTCGTATATTTTCCCTTTTACACAAAAACGTTTTTCGTTGGATAAAATATTAGCTTTTTTCCAGAGTACATTGTTTTTCTATACCATTACTAATTGAAAATGTTTGCGTGTATACTTAGATATGCATGGTGAAACGAATACAGAAGATGGCGCTGATTGTGATACCGCTAACTCTCTCTTGAAAATTTTGTCAGAAATACGACGTCATAGGAGATTTTGTATATTGCCTGTGTGATATTTATATACATACACATATGCAAAACATGTACTTACTGATAGATCCCTCTCAGATCTTTCCACCGGCAAACCTGCGATGACGTCATATTCACGTTACCCTCCCGAATTTCACATCAATCAGCGCAATCTTTTATTATATCGGTCTTGTTAGATATGTATATGTAAGTAAAACATTTTAGCTACCATTTTTAGCCACAACAACTTTTTTAGCTCTTTTTTAGCCCTTTTTTAAAAGGAATTTGGCTACCACTAAAAATGATTCGCGGCAACACTGTCGATGACCCCTTTTATAAAGTTAAATCGCTAGTATTGCCACTTTATTTGACATTTCATTAGCGCTATTACCCTCAGTTTACAATATGCACTTTATTGTTCCTTGCATATCTAATTTCTGATAAAAATTGGTTTTTATAAAAAAATATATGAAAAAATTCCATTTAAACTGCAACCTCCGACCACCTAGGCCCCCTACCGGTCCCTAGGGACCCCTTAGAAAAATGGCCAAAATCACAATTTTTACTTGCGTCCACAGTATTTTTGCGCAGAATTCCTTTCTGCGTAGGCGACTGCGCTTTAGGATTATAACCCTTACCAAATATAATTCTCATTTTGGCGTGCACCAACAGTGATGTAGTCTTGGGAAAGGATAAGGTAACTACACCTTTTCCAATAGCACTTTCGAAAGTATCAGTTGGATTTTAGAAAGCATCAATTCGATTTTAGAAAGCGTCAATTCGATTTTAAAAGGTATCATATGGACTTTAGCATAGTCAAATGTTCTTTAGAAGACGTCAAAAATACTTTAGAATTATCAAATGTATTTTAGAAAGTAGCACTTAGATTTCAGAAAGCGTCAAATGTACTTTAGGTTAGTCAAATGTACTTCTGAAAGCAACAAATGTACTTTTGAAAACACCAAATGTTTTTTTAAAAAAATCAGATGAACTTTAGAAAGTGTCAAATGTACTTTCGAAAATATCAAAAGTACTTTCGACAATATCAAATCTACTTTCGACAATATCAAATCCACTTTAGAAAATATCTACTGTATGTAATATAACATAACCGAGTAACATTTAAAGAAAATGTAAAATGTAGAATAAATATTACGAGTATTTTAAATACTCACGTGTAGTCGTTAACAATGCAAGTTCAGGATAACTGCGCATTTTGCCTCGTCTCTATGAAGCGTCGAGCATTGAAAAGGTTACAGCCATGCAGACACCTATTTCATGCTGACTGTTTTGAAAATGTACCAACCGCAACAAGTTGTCCAATTTGTCGAAGCGATGTAACGGGTAAGCAATGCAAAGCAATTATTTTATTTAAAAAACTATTGCATTAATGAAAATGATTCAATTTCTTTCAGTTGCCGAATCAGTTGAGCGACGTGCCAACATAAAATACTCTGCTGAAGACAGGAAGCGAATTGTGGAGGCAGCCAATAAAGGCCTTGATTGGGTGCAGCTGGCGGAGTCTTTAAATGTAAAATATAAAACGGCTTACGTATGGGTATCTTCTGGCACTCCTCAAGCACTAAGGCAAGGCAGTACAAAAGAAAGAGCGCTGTCGGACAATGAAGTTGCAGTGATGGTCCAATGGATTGAGGAGGATGCCACTATGACACTCACAAAAATTCGTGAAAAAATTAAACAAACGTTTAGAAAAGATATGTGCATTTCCAGCGTGGGAAACTATTTACAAGGACAACTTTTTACGATGAAGGGGATTCATAAGGAACCTCAATCAATGAATTCGCAGCTAAATAAGGAAAAGCGCCGCGAATACGTATGTACGTTGAATCAATATATTCAGGAAGTCTAGCAGATTTTATACATCGACGAGACAAATTTTAATTTATTTTGTCGGCGTTCACGAGGTCGTGCTAAGGTTGGAAAACGTGCGGTACAAGTTTTACCAGTGGCTAAAGGGCCAAACGTGCACCTTATTGGGGCCATTTATGCGTCTGGTGTAGTCAAAATGACTACCAGAAGAGGATCCTTCAAGTCTGAGGACGCAAACGCTTGGCTCCGCTCCGTTTTAGATAGGTGGTGCGAAATGGGTAATCAGCTTACCGATGCCATTATTGTGTGCGACAACGCGCCATGCCATTCAAAGCTACACGAGGTATGTGCAGAGTCCACTTTATTGCGGCTTGGACCATATTCTCCTATGCTTAACCCCATAGAGATAATATGGGGAAAAATTAAGGCGAATGTAAAGTCAAATATACGGACTCCAGACGTGATTGGACCGGGTGTTATTGAGCAAAGGTTGCAGTATTTAGAGGGCCTAATAAAAGACGCTGCCGCCGCTGTTAATGGTGGAGATTGCGCTAGATCGGTGCAGCACAGTACGTCGTTCCACGCTGCTGTAATTTCGCTTGACAATATGCCAGTTGGACAGTGAAAACTGTTCGTTGCATTAGATCTTTATTGTAATATAAAACTTCAATAAAAACATTACTACAACCTATATACATGTCTTAATCTTAAAAAAAAATGTTAGGTGCAATATGAACAATTTAAAGGGAGACTTAGAATATGATTCTAAAGTACATTTGATATGTTCTAAAGTACATTTGATATCTTCGAAAGTATATTTGATGTTGTCGAAAGTATATTTGATATTGTCGAAATTATTTTTGATATTTTCGAAAGTACATTTGACACTTTCTAAAGTACATTTGATACTTTATAATGTACATTTGCTTGCTTCAAAAGTACATTTGATGTTTTCTAAAGTACTTTTGACTAATCTAAAGTTTATTTGACGCTTTCTAAGATTGAAATGATGCTTTCTAAAGTACATTTAATAAATCTACAGTACATATGACGCCTTCTAAACAACATTTGACTATTCTAAAATCCATATGATACTTTCTAAAACCGAATTGACGCTTTCTAAAATCAAACTGATACTTTCCAAAGTACTATTGGAAAAGGTGTAGTTTTCCCTTTCTGTGTGGTAAACCTGGGGCTACCGCCCCAGTGATGTCTATTATGGTTACTGGGTGTTTTATAAAAATGTCTTGTATATGTAAATGTCTTATACAAATTCACAAAATATGTATATCAAACGAAAGAAGATACCGAAAAGCATTGAACACTGCACACGCCTTGTCAGGAAAACTGAATTATTACGAAATACTAATACAGTGGCAGCACTGTAGCTATTTTGGAATCTCGCGTTTCAGTTCGGAAAGATTATCATTTTTTTTAGTAACAAAATAAACATCTTAGGTATAAGTTAAGAATCCGAACATTGCAAAAACTAAAAAAATAGGTATGAGTGTTGATAGAGGTTTTTGAGACAAATACAACAGTATACTTTTTTTAGGCAGAAACAACAACCAAGGCAGTTATGCAAGGTCAAAAGTAAAATGGAGCGTTTTTTTTAAATCCAAATATCTTGAAAACCATCTCACGGATTCTAAAAATTTTCATGTCATTAAACAGGAAATGTGAGTCGCTTTAATTACATATGTAAACGTTATATATAACTTCTTAAGTTTTAGCTAAAATCCAATTTATGTAAAAAAAATTACAAAAAATTTTAAACAAACACATTTTTCTCTAAAAAGTACCGCATTAATTACAGTTAAAAGTCTTTAATAAATAGTACACAAATCAAGCTTTTGTTTGATATACAACATGTTGTGTTTAATCCTCGCAAATCGGAGTATTTCAAAAAATAACTCTGGTCGGACAAATGCCAGCTACGCTATCCACAGTATTTTTGCGCAAAACCTTTTTCTTAGTAAGGGTTATAATCCCTAAGCGCGGCCGAAGGCCGCTAACACAGAAGGTGTTCTGTGCCAAAGGTGATGCGCCCCTCTTCTTCGGCAACACAGAAAGGAGAATTCTGCTAAGTAAGGGATATAATCCCTAGGCGCGGCCGAAGGCCGCCAACGCAGAACGTGTTCTGTGCAAAATGGTGTTGCGCCCCTCTTCTTCGGTAACACAGAAAGGAGAATTCTACTTAGTAAGTGTTATAATCCCTAAGGGCCGTTTTCTGACGTAACATTCAACTTTAAAGCTCACTTTATATTTAAAGGTTGGATTAAAAATAAAGCTATGTCTAAATTTAAGCATTTCTATTTAGGTTTTTGACGTACATATGTGTGTTTCTTGGTTTTAAACCAATTTAAAACCGATAATAAAGTGCTTTACTTTAGACACAATCATAAATTTTAATGAAACCTTTAAATATAAAGTGAGCTTTAAAGTTACAGGTTATTTGAGAAAACGGCCCTAAGTGCCGAAGGCCGTTGTGGTGCTTTTAAAAACTTATATTTTTGGTAAAGTTAAGATCCAATTAAATTTTTAATGTTTAACAAAAATACATTTTCAACTATACAGCAAGATGAAAAAATTTGAAGTGAAGAAAAATTTTCATTTTGATTTTCATTTTACAAAAATAACTTAAATCAAAAATTTTCAAAATTAACATAGTTAAAAAATTAAGCAAGTGTAATAAAACGTATGAACCCTACAATACTCCCCCTTCCAGAGAATCATTATTATATAAATTAAAAGTAACTTGTTTCTTTTTAGTCGTTGTTGAAAATGTGTGATTGTTAGTTTTATGTGATTGTGTTCTTTCAAGTACCGCTGGCTTTAATCTGTCAATCGAAATAGTATTAATTTCGTTATTTACATCTACCTTGAAATATTTCTTATCTTTTTCAATAACTCTGTAAGGTCCTTCATACGGATGTTGAAGAGAATGCTTGTTAACGATGCGAATGAAAACAAATTTACACGTTTGTAAATCTTTTGGAACATAAATTCCTGAATCAAATTCTTTATGATGTTTTAAATTTGAATTAACATTTTTAAAACGTTCTCGTAAACTACTTAAAATTTCGGTCGAAGTTACATTTTCTGTAGTTGGCATAACAAGTTCTCCAGGTAGACGCAAATTTTGGCCAAACATCATTTCAGCTGGAGTGGCTGCAATATCTTCTTTGTACACTGATCGTAAACCAAGAAGAATTATCGGTAGCTCATTGTACCAATCCCTAGTTCCATTTCTAGCCAAAATTGAGGATTTTAATTGTCTATGGAAACGTTCCACCATACCATTACCCTGAGGATGATAGGAAGACGTTGTGATATGGTGACTTCCAAGCAATTTAGTTAGTTCCGAAAATAATTTTGATGTAAATTGAGTGCCTTGATCCGTCGTAATTTCTAAAGGTACACCAAAACGCGATACATACTCAGTAATAAATTTATTTGCTACTGTCTGTGCAGAAATATCCTTTAAAGCATATGCTTCCGGCCAACGTGTAAATCGATCAATAAGTGTTAAAATGTAGCGATAACCTNAAGCGATAACCTTTTGAAACAGGAAGGGGTCCAACAATATCTAAATGTATGTGTTCAAATCTACTCTTTGGAATTGGAATTGTGCTTACAGGAGATTTTGTGTGACGATAAACTTTAGATTTCTGACAACTTATGCATCCTTTTGACCATATGTTTATTTCCTTGTTCATATTAGGCCAATAATACTTATTAACAATTAATCGGCGTGTAGCCTTGGTACCAGGGTGAGAAATTCCATGTAATATATCAAACACTGTTCTACGTAAACTGCTTGGAACAAAAGGCCTAGGATTTTCTCCTGAAGCTTCACACCAAATATTAAAATTCAGAACAGAAATTTTAACTAAATTAAGATTTCGAAATTTTTGCTCAGAAATAATTTTATCGAGTTCATTGTCCTGTTGCTGTTCATTTTGTAAAGTTTTGAAATTAAGTTCCGAATTCTTAAACGCATCTACTTCAAACACACGAGATAACGTGTCAGCTACAATGTTAGCCTGTCCCTTAATATACTGTATGTCACTAGTAAACTGTGCAATAAACTCGAGATGTCTTGTTTGTCTTGGACTACGTTCAGTTTTGGAATTTAGAGCAAAAACCAAGGGCTTATGATCAGTAAAAACAGTAAATTGTCGGCCTTCCAAAAGATACCAAAAATGTTTAATGTTTAAATAAATTGCTAATAATTCCCTGTCAAAAACACTATATTTCATTTCTGCTGGAGAAAGTTTCTTTGAAAAGAACGCGAGTGGTTCACACTTATTATTAAAATGTTGCTGTATAACACCACCAATTGCCGAATTAGATGCATCTACATTTAAAGAGAGTTTGGCATCTTTGTTAAAATGATTAATTAATATCGTAGATGCAAACTTCTCTTTAATGCATTCAAAAGCTTTATTTGATTTGTCGTCCCAAATTCAATTATTGTCACGTTTCTTATTCGTTCGAGTGATTAAGTCACAGATGACTGTCGTAAACTCTGCTAGTTTTGGTATATATCGATGATAGTAGTTAATCATGCCAATAAATTTCTGTGCTTGCTTAATAGATTTCGGACGTTCGAAACTGGGGATAGCNCTTGACGATATGTTTATTTCCTTGTTCATATTAGGCCAATAATACTTATTAACAATTAATCGGCGTGTAGCCTTGGTACCAGGGTGAGAAATTCCATGTAATATATCAAACACTGTTCTACGTAAACTGCTTGGAACAAAAGGCCTAGGATTTTCTCCTGAAGCTTCACACCAAATATTAAAATTCAGAACAGAAATTTTAACTAAATTAAGATTTCGAAATTTTTGCTCAGAAATAATTTTATCGAGTTCATTGTCCTGTTGCTGTTCATTTTGTAAAGTTTTGACATTAAGTTCCGAATTCTTAAACGCATCTACTTCAAACCCACGAGATACCGTGTCAGCTACAATGTTAGCCTGTCCCTTAATATACTGTATGTCACAAGTAAACTGTGCAATAAACTCGAGATGTCTTGTTTGTCTTGGACTACGTTCAGTTTTGGAATTTAGAGCAAAAATCAAGGGCTTGTGGTCAGTAAAAACCGTAAACTGTCTTCCTTCTAATAAATACCGAAAATGTTTAATATTCAAATAAATTGCTAAAAGTTCCCTGTCAAAAGCACTANCAAGGGCTTATGATCAGTAAAAACAGTAAATTGTCGGCCTTCCAAAAGATACCGAAAATGTTTAATGTTTAAATAAATTGCTAATAATTCCCTGTCAAAAACACTATATTTCATTTCTGCTGGAGAAAGTTTCTTTGAAAAGAACGCGAGTGGTTCACACTTATTATTAAAATGTTGCTGTATAACACCACCAATTGCCGAATTAGATGCATCTACATTTAAAGAGAGTTTGGCATCTTTGTTAAAATGATTAATTAATATCGTAGATGCAAACTTCTCTTTAATGCATTCAAAAGCTTTATTTGATTTGTCGTCCCAAATTCAATTATTGTCACGTTTCTTATTCGTTCGAGTGATTAAGTCACAGATGACTGTCGTAAACTCTGCTAGTTTTGGTATATATCGATGATAGTAGTTAATCATGCCAATAAATTTCTGTGCTTGCTTAATAGATTTCGGACGTTCGAAACTGGGGATAGCTACCACTTTTTCTTCACAGGGTCTAATTCCCGCCTCTGAGATATTATGTCCCAAAAAATCAATACTTATAACGCCAAAAGTACATTTACTTGGTTTGATATTTAAACCGTACTCTGTTAAGCGTTGGAAAACTGCTTGAAGATCTTTAAAATGCTGTTCGTCATTCTCACTTGCGATTAATAGATCATCGATATATGCATAAACAAAGTCTAAACCACTAACTACTTCCTTAATAAATCTTTGAAAAGTTTGCGCTGAATTTCTAAGTCCAAAAGGCAAACGTATAAATTCAAACATACCAAAAGGTGTCGTAATTGCAGTCTTATAGATATCTTCTTCGGCCAATGGAATTCGGTGGTAAGCTCTTACCAAATCTAATTTAGAAAATATATTCTTATTTCTAAGATTCATCTTAAAGTCATGAACATGAGGTAAAGGGTAACGATCCGGTACAGTCAAAATGTTTAGTCTTCGAAAGTCACCACAAGGA